TCTCAATGACTCTGATATTTCATTTCCTTGCCTTCAAATCTGCAAAATCATCTATCACATCACAAGATCAATGATTTCCCCAATAGGCCTATTTGTACTCTGTAATCCTATAATAGGCTATATAGAAATGAAGGATTTTTCTCTTAGGCTGCTGCAGCACGTTTTTGGTCATTAGTGTTACCTTCTTTAGAGGCTCTTTGGTCACCTGGGGGGGCCCCCACCCTAACGATGCCCTGGAAGAAACGCACAGTCTTCGCCTCTCTCTTCCTATTCTCATCTAAAGCAAATTTCCTGAACTGTGGGCTGTTGCTGTTGCAGATGAAGGTTTTGCAGCTCTTCAGTGGTTGCTCTTCACTGTGGTCCTCCACCAACTTCACTGCCACATCCTGATTCATCTCACATCCAAACCACCATGGACTTCCCCAAAGACACAAAAAGATTCCACAAACGGCGTAGGGTCGTCAGGGCAGCCTCAAACCCTTCAAATTCTTCTATTGGACACATTTTGGCCTCAATTTCTCCAAGCAGAGTTCAAAGTCCTGGAAGTCACTCCCTGCCAAGCCTTACCTATAAGGCTTATGTGGGTTGAAGTGATTCCTCCAGAACTCTCTTAGGGTCAAGTCAGTGTCTGAGATCACTTTAACCCCTTGACTGTCACAACCCCAATCCTGATGGTGTTCCTGGTGTTGCAAAATTTAAAAAAAAGATAAATTATTTTTTCTTATGAAATGATAGACAATCTTTTCCCGATTGTAATGGCACCAAAAACACGAAATTTGATGGAAAACTGATGGAATTACGCTCTCGCGAAGTTAACGACCTTGGCGATATTTACAAATCGGCGATATCGCCCACTTTGACCCCTATTTTCGGCTAATTCCATTGTTCCAGTCGACCAAACTCATAGCTATTTCTTTAGAACTCCGTTTTCTCTATCGATTGAGTACAAGAAACTGCCCATTTACCAATTTCAACTACCCAATAAGGTGGTCAGAAATTTGCAATTTGGCCAATTTCACGAAAATTAAAAAATATGACAATTTCAAAATAAGTTCCAGAATGAACAATGCAGACATTCCTGGCTCTAAAATAACATTTTCTTTGTTCATCAGTCATGTCTCCAGGCCCCTCTGATATTACTCTTGCTTTCTATTTTGAATTTTTATTCAAACAAAAAATAGAAGATTTACTATTATGCAGATTACTCCAATACTGAAATAATTGTATATAAATAACATCAAACCCATTCATGACTGCTATTAGAAATGGCTAGTTGGACATTTATTGGACAATGATGTCATTTGTTTACTTTTGAACATCGGCAAAAATCAAACATTTCCCCTACTTTGAGCTCCATTTCCAGGTTCTTTTTATAGTAAAATCAATCAAAATCATCTCTTTTTCTATAATACGTTTTCCATTCTATCAAATGAGACCAAGAAAACTAGAATACAACAATAAATACTATACGAAAATAGACCACAAAGTCGGCATTTTAATTAAAAAAAAACGGTCGGAGTTTTTTTTTCTCATTATGCATTGCATGCTCCAGGATTTTTTTTATGTGGTGCACACTGACCACACAGACCCATTCTCTCACATGTAGGCCTACCAGCTTTCTCCTCCTTGATTTGAAGCCGCTAGAATTTATGAGTATATATACGTCAAACACGGTACCTCGTAAGACGTATATATACGGCCGCGACAGTCAAAGGGTTAAAGCACCTTTGAAACAATGCTTTTGTGTAGAGTTTTTTGAAGTTAGAAATGACCTGCTGGTCCATGGGCTGGATGAGAGGAGTGGTGTTAGGAGGCAAGAACTTCACTGTTATAAAACTGAAGTCCCTTAACCCGTAAACGGTCCAAACATATATATACATTTTTACCGCTAGTGCCCCAACCATATACATGTATATACATTTTTACTGCTAGTGCCCCAAACGTATATATACGTTTTATTTTTCCTGCCTTTAAATTTGGCACGACTGGCCTGAGATGCCTTGTCAGCATAGAATGGGTTCTAACACTCAGTGTGTGCGGTATTAAAAAAAATCTGGCACCACTTAGTACCTTGTGGGAGCACCAGTTCAAATGAGCACCAGCTAGAGGAAACAGCGCAGCAAACACCTGGGATTCACTGATGTCATGTAGTATTAACACTCCCATTTTAAGAGGAAAGTGATTTTCACCCTGAGTTTAGTGACTTGGAGGTGGATGTGGCCACAAGTGGTCCAGGAAATATAAAAAAAAAAACTCGATAATAACCCATGTGCAATATTTGTGCAACACATTTTCAGAATGTCTTATAACCTATGCCCTAAGTAAAGAGAAACAATTCTGGCTGGCTGGCTGGCAGGCGAGCTGGCTGGCTGCCTGACTGGCTGATTGGCTGGCTAGCTGGCTGGCTAGCTGGCTGGCTAGCTGGCTGGCCAGCTGCGTGGCAGCCAGCTGTGTGGCTGGCCGGCTGCTGGCGGCCTGGCTCTATCTCTGTTTGTTTGTCTGTAGCTATGTCTATCTCTGTCTGTCTCTCTGTCTCTATCTCTGTGTATCTCTGTCTGTCTCTATCTTTGTCTCTGTTTATCTGTCTCTAGTCTATCTGTCTGTCTATCCCTGTCTATCTGTCTCTGTCTATCTCTTTCTGTCTATCTCTGTCTCACAGGTACACATAAATACAAGTATACATAGTGTAAATTACCTAGGATAACCCCAAAAATCCAGACAAAGTGCTATACTCTGCTTGAAGATGTGAGTAAACGTGATGACTACGCAGTCTTGTGGCTCTCTCTGAGACAGAGAGCTAGATGGATAGACAGATAGACAGGGAGCTTGACAGACAGACAAATAAACAGACATGTTTGTGTACCAGCGAAAACAAAGCAGGACCTAATCGTTTCTTATCAAGTCTGATCAATGCACCCTTGCGAATGCTCATCAAACGTCAGCTCTTATCAAATGTTATCTCATCTTATCACGTCACTGTCAGGGGTGGACTTTGTTTTTCATGCTTCAGGGGAACTTATTATTTTATTATTATTATGCTGCATCATCATCATCTCCTTCTCCTCCTTCTCCTCCTCACTATTATTATATACTTCCACATATCCAAAACACTGCTGGGACCTATAAGTACTTTGCATATATTCCAAGACAATAGTAAATGACCAAGGCAGATGAAAATGTCCACCTGTCAATGTGTTTGTGACAATGTGAGTACAATTCAGTACCTAATACTAGTGTCAGAACAAAGATTGATTATGAAATGACAAGAACTACTGTAAATTGTAATTATCAGAACATAAAAATTATATAAAATAATATGAAAAATGGAAAAAAAGATATATCGGCAACACTTCTGCAAGCGGAAGCGCCCCATGTTGCCACCAGGTGATCGCCAAGTGCCAACTTTGCAGCCTCATATCTTGGCAAGTACTGACCCTAATTTTTTTTTTATCCAATAACACTTAGAAAAATGTGCTTTTTTTTCAATAAATTTTTTTTTTTTTATTTTTCAAAATATTCGGGGCACTGGGGTAGTGAACGTATATATACGTTTGGACCATTTACGGGTTAACAAAAGGTTTTCCAAGTCTGGAGGATGAGCAGGAGCACTGTCCAGTACCAGGAGGCGCTTGAGTGGCAATTTATTGTCCTGGACGTATTTTTTCACACCCAGGTCAAACACTTCATGGACCCAGTCAAAGAAAATTTGCCTTGTGACCCCATGCCTTATTATTAGCTTTCCAAAACACAAACAAATTACTCTTGATGACATTGTTTTTCCTGAACACTCTGGGATTTTCAGAGTGATACACCAGTAAAGGCTTCACTTTGAAATCCCCACTAGCATTACCACAGAACAAAAGAATAAGCCTATCCTTCATAGGCTTGTGTCCTGGCAGTGCCTTTTCCTCCTGCATGTTTTAGGTCCTCTTTGACATTTTTTTCCAAAAGAGGCCTGTTTCATCACAAATGAACATGTGTTGGGGGAGGAATCCTTCAGCTTCTACGTATTCCTTGAATTCATGCACGAATTCTTCAGCCGCACATTTGTCTGAACTCGCAGCCTCACTATGCCTTGCAACACTGTGTATGCCACTATGCTTCTTAAATCTCTCAAACCAGCCTTTGCTGGGCCTAAATTCACTAACAGCAGCACTTGTTCCAGGCATTTTATTCACGAGATCCACATGTAACTGACTTGTCTTTTCACAAATGATCGACTCTACAACACTATCTCCAGCTAATTGTTCATCATTGATCCACACCAACAATAACTTCTCCACATCTTCATTTATTGGTGACCTTTGTTTCGTTAGCATATTTACCCCTTTCGCAACATTAGCTTCCTTGATTTCTACTTTCTTCGCCTGGATGGAAGTGATTGTTGATTTGGATTTCCCACACATCCTGGTAAGCTGGAGCACACATACACCACTCTCATACTTTGCTACAATTTCTTTTTTAATTCCATCGTATTTCTCACTTTCTTTACCAAAGGAACTTTACTGGGAACAAACACCCAGAAAAACAGTGGCTTATAACAAAATGTTTGGATGAATGCACGGAGTCTTCCTCACTCTCTGAGAGACACAGCAAAACTGACTCACAAATACAGCGAAGTGGCAGGATGGATGCATCCAATAGTACCGATTTCCGAGTTGACGGCCAAAATCCGAAATAGAATTTTGGCCAAAGAAGCGGCCGATATCCGGAACAACTGATAACTGAGGGTCCACTGTGCTGGAGAGCATTTCAAAATGGAGTTGGTTGCATGCACACTACCTACACATAATTTTTTTATGATAATTTATCTTCAATTTTTTTATGTCATTATCATTTACCTCACATATGTTTTATTTCTGTCTTAAAAGTAAAGCAAATAGTACTGTTGCTCCATTTAAACATTAATGAATCAGTGAAACAAAGAATGAATGGAGTGGGAGGAATATTTTACAGACTTTACTCCACTAGGCAGCATAACAAAATAGGACATAACTAACCCAAACCCTGGGTTGAAACACCAGTAGGATATGAGACGTCCAACCTTGGAATTTAAAGGATTAGGTCTGGGGGCTCCCCACCCATCTTGACGACCACCAGGCTTTTTCTTTGGTTCCTCTATGTTGACATGAACCTTAAAGGATAAAATAATAAACTACAACCAATCTACATGACATTCAAGTTCTCTTTAATTGCTATTTTTTTATCAACCTACATTACATCATTCCCTCAAAATCTGGGGATATAATTTCACAAATTTTGACAACCTGAGGATTTTTGTAAAGATATCTCTCATGAAAAATATCTAAAATTTGTAAGTTATGAGGAAATCCATGTGTCCTATAAGATATAGACAGATGAAGGAAAACCAAATTTATTTCATACTTCATATATAATCCCTTATAGATTGTGTATAAAATGCCTTTCTTATTTGTGAAAAAGCAAATTTTGGAACATGTGAAGTATGCTTATTAATTTTATGCACATCAAGTTTTTTTTTTTTTTTTTATTTTTTTGGGATGGTTCTTTTAATCATGCCCCCAAAAATAAAAATCATACAAAAATTTTTTTTTTGAAAAAAGTTAAAAAAGCCAAACCCCCCATAGGCTTTTTTTTTAAAAGTCTTAAATTGTTTTTTCTCACACCTTAACCCTGTTCTTTTGTTAACCTTCAGGGGAAAAATCAATTTTTAATATAAAATTAGATAAATGCGTTTTAAAACCATAATTAGAAATATGCAATTTAACCTTAGGAACGTTTTAAAAAAATTCCAAAGACATATATGGTTCTCAATTCCATTCTCAAAGGTATTTTCCTAAGGCCACAGAAGAAAAAACAAGTTAAGCAAACCAAATTAAGGCCACTGACCAAGAAGTCACCATCAGGTGGTTCATTAGCATTTCACCTGTAAATTATTATTTTGGGAGATTACCACTGCTCATGCCTGGTACAAAAACCCTGGGGACTTTTTCCAAACCAATTTTAGCACGATCAAAAAGGAGAAAAACAAAATTATAGGTGCCCAGTTGCCTGGCAAAAAAAATTTCCGCTTCACCAGTGGGGGTTTGGGGTTTTCGTTTCCCCGGCGAAAGGGGGGTTGGGAAACCCGGGACTTTTTCCCTTTACCCCAGTTTTTTTTGTTCACCCACCCGTACAAGGGTCCGGGGTTTGTTTTGTCGACGGGTTTGTAGGTCGCTTTCGGGGGCAAAACTGCCTTTTAATTGTCCCCAAAATTTTGCTTTTGCATAAAAAGGCAGCTTTTTCTGTAGGGTATTTATGTCATTGATGTCGCTAGGCCTGCATAACCCGTACATTACTAGTAAAAAATTAAAGATATTTTTCTTTTTAAATTTTTAACCTTCTTTTCAATCAATCACTGTCTTCCCAGAAGTTTTGGAAACATAACAGCCTGACGGAAACCCCCAAATGGCAACATTTTCCCCCCTCTTTTGGGAGGGGCAGGCACTTACTTCCCCCCTTTCCCGGGAACTCAAGTCGGGAAAAAACCAGTTTTTCCCTAAATTTCCCTTTAATAAATGTTCCCTTTTGGTCCACCCCAAAAGGGGGAATGTAAAGTTTTAAACCCCTTTCGGGGTTTCCAGAGGTCAAATTTAAAAGTTGCCCCAGTGTCCAAGAATTTTCAAAAAACAAATTTTTTGTTATTTTTTTTTTATTGAAATGATATAGAAAGTTTTCTAAAGGGAAATAAAACAAAAAAGTACAAAAATTTGAGGGAAAATTGAAAAAAATTATGCTCTTGCTTTTTTTTGTGTCAGCGATATTTAGGGCATCGGTGATTTTGCCGACTTTGACCCAAATTTTTGGACCCAAATTCATTATTCCAGTCGGGAAAAATTTTTAGCTATTTCCCTTTAAAATTACTTCTATTTTTATTGTTTTAGCAAAAGAAAATTTGACAGCTCCAAATGTTTCAACTCAAAATTAAGTGATCGGGGGAAAATTTGGGAAATTTTGGGAAAATTTTAAAAAAAAAAGTTCAAAATAATCCAATTTTAAAATAGGGTTTAGGAAAAAACAAAAGAGGCCTTCCCCGGCATAAACCCAATTTTTTCCTTCTGTTTTATTAGTTAAATTTTTAGGGGCCCTTTTAATGGGAAATTTCCCCTTTTTTATTTTTATGAAAATAATGAATTTTTATTCAAATTTAAAAAAATAGAAAAATTTTTGTTATGAAATATTGTAATAAATTTTTTTTTAAAAAATTAAAATTAAAATTTTTTAAAATTTTTTATTAAAAAAAAAAATTTTAAAATTTTAAAAAAAAATATTTTTTTAATTTTTTTTAAAAAAAAAAAATTTAAAATTTTATTTTGATTATTTAAATTTAATTTTTTAAAACAATTAAAATTATTATTTTTAATTTTTTATTCTAAAAAAAAATAAAAATTTAAAAAAAATTATTTTTAAAAAAAATAAAAATATTTAAAAATTAAATTTTTTAATTAAAAAAATTTTTTTAAAAAAATTTTTTTATTTATATTTTTTAATTTTATTTAAAACATTTTAAATAATTTTAAATTTAATTTTTAAAAAATTTAATTGTTAAAATTTATAAAAAAAAAGGGGAAAAATTACTTTTAAATTTTTAAATTTTTTAAAAAAAATTAATAATTAAAATACCTTTAAATTTTTAAAATACTTTTTAAAAAAAAATAAAAATATTAAATTATTTTTTTTAAAAAATTTAAAAAATTAAATTATTTTAAAATTTTTAAAAATAAAAAAACAAAACCCGGGAAACCCTTTGGGGGGTCACTTTTTACCTTCCCGGAAAAAACCTTTTCCAAGGGTTTAAAAAGGTTTAAAAATAAAAAATTTTTTGAAAACCCCCCAAAAAAAATCGAAAAAAAAAAAAAAAGGAAATAGGTTTCTTGGCCCTTTTTTTTTCCAGTTAAAAACCCAAAAAAATTTTTTTTTTTAAACCCTGGCCAGAAAAATTTTTAAGGGGCCCCCAAAAAAATTTGCTTTAATAAAGGGCCCTTTTTTAAAAGTTGGGGGAAAATGCAGTTTTTTAAAAAAATTGGCCCCCGGGGTTCCCCCCCTTGGAAAAAGGCCCCTTAAAAAGTTTTAACTGTTTTGGAAAAAACCCAATTTTTTTTGGTAAAATGAAAAAGTGATTATTTTCTTGAAATTAAATTTTTTGTGTAATTTATTTCAATTTAAACCTTTAAATTATTGGTATGTAACAAAAAAAATGACCCATATATAGGGCTTTTACTATCCAAGTTTCAGGTTTCCCAGCAGGTCTTGGCCATCTTTCCCCCCAAGGGAGGGTGATCCAAAAAAGAAGAAACAAAGTTTTTTTCTTTTTATATTTAGTTAATTTTTTAGGTAAGTAGGTTTTGGCAGCAACCACCCAGGGAAAATACTAAAAATTTCCCAGAAAGACTGTGAAACAGAAACCCGTAAATGTTTTGTGATGGTAGGATTGGTTTGGGTTTTTTTTTCTGTCTCCCTTAAAAAACCTAGATTAAAAGGGTTTTCTTGCTACTCCCACTTACACTTTGGTCACACTTCACAGACACGCACATGCATATATATATACATACATCTAGGTTTTTCTCCTTTTTCTAAATAGCTCTTGTTCTTCTTTATTTCTTCTATTGTCCATGGGGAAGTGGAAAAGAATCTTTCCTCCATAAGCCATGCGTGTCGTATGAGGCGACTAAAAATGCCGGGAGCAATGGGCTAGTAACCCTTCTCCTGTAGACATTTACTAAAAAAGAGAAGAAGAAAAACTTTATAAAACTGGGATGCTTGAATGTGCGTGGATGTAGTGCGGATGACAAGAAACAGATGATTGCTGATGTTATGAATGAAAAGAAGTTGGATGTCCTGGCCCTAAGCAAAACAAAGTTGAAGGGGGTAGGGGAGTTTCGGTGGGGGGAAATAAATGGGATTAAATCTGGAGTATCTGAGAGAGTTAGAGAAAAGGGAAGGGGTAGCAGTAATGTTGAAGGATCAGTTATGGAAGGAGAAAAGAGAATATGAATGTGTGAATTCAAGAATTATGTGGATTAAAGTAAAGGTTGGATGCGAAAAGTGGGTCATAATAAGCGAGTATGCACCTGGAGAAGAGAGGAATGCAGAGGAGAGAGAGAGATTTTGGGAGATGTTAAGTGAATGTATAGGAGCCTTTGAACCAAGTGAGAGAGTAATTGTGGTAGGGAACCTGAATGCTAAAGTAGGAGAAACTTTTAGAGAGGGTGTGGTAGGTAAGTTTGGGGTGCCAGGTGTAAATGATAATGGGAGCCCTTTGATTGAACTTTGTATAGAAAGGGGTTTAGTTATAGGTAATACATATTTTAAGAAAAAGAGGATAAATAAGTATACAAGATATGATGTAGGGTGAAATGACAGTAGTTTGTTGGATTATGTATTGGTAGATAAAAGACTGTTGAGTAGACTTCAGGATGTACATGTTTATAGAGGGGCCACAGATATATCAGATCACTTTCTAGTTGTAGCTACACTGAGAGTAAAAGGTAGATGGGATACAAGGGGAATAGAAGCATCAGGGAAGAGAGAGGTGAAGGTTTATAAACTAAAAGAGGAGGCAGTTTAGGGTAAGATATAAACAGCTATTGGAGGATAGATGGGCTAATGAGAGCATAGGAAATGGGGTCAAAGAGGTATGGGGTAGGTTTAAAAAATGTAGTGTTAGAGTGTTCAGCAGAAGTTTGTGGTTACAGGAAAGTGGGTGTGGGAGGAAAGAGGAGCGATTGGTGGAATGATGATGTAAAGAGAGTAGTAAGGAGAAAAAGTTAGCATATGAGAAGTTTTTACAAAGTAGAAGTGATGCAAGGAGGGAAGAGTATATGGAGAAAAAGAGAGAGGTTAAGAGAGTGGTAAAGCAATGTAAAAGAGAGCAAATGAGAGAGTGGGTGAGATGTTATCAACAAATTTTTTGAAAATAAGAAAAAGTTTTGGAGTGAGATTAACAAGTTAAGGAAGCCTAGAGAACAAATGGATTTGTCAGTTAAAAATAGGAGAGGAGAGTTACTAAATGGAGAATTAGAGGTATTGGGAAGATGGAGGGAATATTTTGAGGAATTGTTAAATGTTGATGAAGATAGGGAAGCTGTGATTTCGTGTATAGAGCAAGGAGGAATAACATCTTGTAGGATGAGGAAGAGCCAGTTGTGAGTGTGGGGGAAGTTCATGAGGCAGTAGGTAAAATGAAAGGGGTAAGGCAGCCGGGATTGATGGGATAAAGATAGAAATGTTAAAAGCAGGTAGGGATATAGTTTTGGAGTGGTTGGTGCAATTATTTAATAAATGTATGGAAGAGGGTAAGGTACTAGAGATTGGCAGAGAGCATGCATAGTTCCTTTGTATAAAGGCAAAGGGGACAAAAGAGAGTGACAAAAATTATAGGGGGATAAGTCTGTTGAGTATACCTGGTAAAGTGTATGATAGAGTTGTTATTGAAAGAATTAAGAGTAAGACGGAGAATAGGATAGCAGATGAACAAGGAGGCTTTAGGAAAGGTAGGGGGTGTGTGGACCAGGTGTTTACAGTGAAACATATAAGTGAACAGTATTTAGATAAGGCTAAAGAGGTCTTTGTGGCATTTATGGATTTGGAAAAGGCATATGACAGGGTGGATAGGGGGGCAATGTGGCAGATGTTGCAGGTGTATGGTGTAGGAGGTAGGTTACTGAAAGCAGTGAAGAGTTTTTACGAGGATAGTGAGGCTCAAGTTAGAGTATGTAGGAAAGAGGGAAATTATTTCCCAGTAAAAGTAGGCCTTAGACAAGGATTGTGTGATGTCACCGTGGTTGTTTAATATATTTAATAGACGGGGTTGTAAGAGAAGTAAATGCGAGGGTCTTGGCAAGATGGCATGGAGTTAAAAGATAAAGAATCACACATAAAGGGAGTTGTCACAGTTGCTCTTTGCTGATGACACTGTGCTCTTGGGAGATTCTGAAGAGAAGTTGCAGAGATTGGTGGATGAATTTGGTAAGGTATGCCAAAGAAGAAATTAAAAGTGAATACAGGAAAGAGTAAGGTTAGAGGATAACAAAAAGATTAGGTGATGAAAGATTGGATATCAGATTGAAGGGAGAGAGTATGGAGGAGGTGAATGTATTCAGTTTATTTGGGATTTGGAGTGTCAGGGGATGGGTCTATGAAAGATGAGGTGAATCATAGAATTGATGAGGGGAAAAGGGTGAGTGGTGCACTTGGGGAGTCTGTGGAGACAAAGAATTTTTCCCCTTGGAGGCAAAGAGGGGAATGTATGAGAGTACAGTTTTACCAATGTCTTATAGGGGTGTGAAGCATGGGTGATGAATTTTGCAGCGAGGAGAAGGCTGGAGGCAGTGGAGATGTTTATGTCTGAGGGCAATGTGTGGTGTGAATATAATGCAGAGAATTCGTAGTTTGGAAGTTAGGGGGAGGTGCGGGATTACCAAACTGTTGTCAGAGGGCTGAGGAAGGGTTGTTGAGGTGGTTCGGACATGTAGAGAGAATGGAACGAAACAGAGTGACTTCAAGAGTGTATCAGTCTGTAGTGGAAGGAAGGCGGGGTAGGGGTCATCCTAGGAAGGTTGGAGGGAGGGGGTAAAGGAGGTTTTGTGTGCGAGGGGCTTGGACTTCCAGCAGGTATGCGTGAGCGTGTTTGATAGGAGTGAATGGAGACAAATGGTTTTTAATACTTGACGTGCTGTTGGAGTGTGAGCAAAGTAACATTTATGAAGGGGTTCAGGGAAACCGGCAGGCCAGACTTGAGTCCTGGAGATGGGAAGTACAGTGCCTGCACTCTGAAGGAGGGGTGTTAATGTTGCAGTTTAAAAACTGTAGTGTAAAGCACCCTTCTGGCAAGACAGGGATGGAGTGAATGATGGTGAAATTTTTTCTTTTTCGGGCCACCCTGCCTTGGTGGGAATCGGCCAGTGTGATAATAAAAAAAAATAAATAAAAAATTTAATAATTCCATATACAACATGTACAGTATATGGAAGAGGACAACCAAAATAGTCATTACTAAATATGTACCACATCAATAATTTTGCCCCTTACATCTCTTCAGTGGTCCATACTAGTTTACTTGGTCTGTAATGCCTCACACCCTTCACATTCGGGAAGATAATGTGTTCATAAAGGTCAAAAATTTAGACAAATAAATTAAATGGCTACATAAGAAATTTGGGTGAAGATATGAAGTGAATTTATTACAATTGCAAAATATTACTTTCATGGTACATTATTATAAATATAAGAAACAAAGTTACTGAGTATACAGATTCAAAAATTCTGAAAGCATATTACAATTTACCTTGTAACACTGCTTTACAAATTCCATGTGTTGTAGAGTAAATGCATCTTTGCTGAAAACTATTTTTATTAAATCAGAAAATTTCTGAAGACCAGCTCCTTTGCGCTGAAATGGCGAAGCGCTATTCGTTGTCAAGTACTGTATCTGTAAATAAAGAAGCAGCAGCTCACCATAAAATGCCAATGATTTCAAATGTTTGTAAAGTTGACCACCATTAATCTCTAGTTGATTTTTTTTTTTTTTGCCCCAAATTTCACAGTGCCTGAGAGCCTTCAGAATTAATTTATGGTAATCCAGACCATCGGTTAAAGGAAAGGGTCTGCTGTCTTACCACTTTCTCTAAATTACTTGCTCATTTGTTTAATTTAATTACTGAACTAAAACCTTTATAAGTGCCAGTTATAACAATTTAAACTCAACTGTGCAAAAAAAATAAAAAATAAAAAATACCTGAAACAAAATTTGATTTTTTTTTTCTTTATTTTTTTTTAAATCTAATTAGTATCATTTGACTACATAAAGATTTTCTCTAAATTTCAGTACAGTACTGTACATTTTAAATGTTCATTTTTTTGAAACTTAAAAATTTATAAGCCAAAATATTTAATTTTTTCATATAAAAATTTTTGAGTGAAAACCCCTATTTATTAAAGATTCCCTTTAAACATTATGTGTGTATAGCTTTATAATCCTAGCTAGTAGGTTGGTAGACAGCAACTTCCCAGGGAGATACTACCATCCTGAGTGTACAACAAAAGCCTGTAATTGTTTTACATGATGGAAGGATTGCTAGTGCATTTTCCTGTCTCATAAACATGCAAGATTTCAGGTATGTCTTGCTACTTCTACTTACACTTAGGTCACACTACACATGTATGTACAAGCATATATATATACACACCCCTCTGGGTTTTCTTCTATTTTCTTACTAGTTCTTGTTCTTGTTTATTTCCTCTTATCTCCATGGGTAAGTCAAACAGAATTCTTCCTCCATAAGCCATGCGTTTTATAAGAGGCGACTAAAATGCCAGGAGCAAGGGACTAATAACCCCTTCTCCTGTATACATTACTAAAGTTGAAAAGAGAAACTTTAGTTTTTCTTTTGGGTCACCTGCTTCGGTGGGATATGGCTGGTTTGTTGAAAGAAGAAGCTTTATAAATAGTCAAGAATTTGAATTTCAATTAATAAATCTGCCAAACAGATTTACAGCTATTTAATATTACGGTTAAAGTTATTTTCTTCCAAAAAATTGCTGCACTTTCAGTCGTTATAATTTATTTCTTGCAACACAAAATTTTCATTTAATAAATTAAAGAATGACAGGGAGAGCATATAAATCTGCAGGGGAAGGAAGGCGGGGTAGGGGTCGTCTTCGAAAAGGTTGGAAGGAAAGGGTAAGGAAGGTTTGGTGGGCGAGGGTCTTGGACTTTCAGCAGGCATGTGTGAGCGTGTTCGATAGGAGTGAATGGAGACAAATGGTATTTGGGACCTGACTAGCTGTTGGAGTGTGAGCAGGGTAATATTTAGTGAAGGGATTCAGGGAAACCGGTTATTTTATATAGCTGGACTTGAGTCCTGGAAATGGGAAGTACAATGCCTGCAATCTAAAGGAGGGGTTCGGGATAGTGGCAGTTTGGTGGGATATGTTGTGTATCTTTATACATATATGCTTCTAAACTGTTGTATTCTGGGCACCTCTGCAAAAACAGTGATTATGTGTGAGTGAGGTGAAAGTGTTGAATGATGATTAAAGTATTTTCTTTTTGGGGATTTTCTTTCTTTTTAGGTCACCCTGCCTTGGTGCGAGACGGCCGACTTGTTTAAAAAAAAAAGTGTATAAAATACTATACAGTGTTTATGTATATATTTGTTGGAGTAGTACAATGCCTGCACTTTAAAGGAGGGGTTGGGGATACTGGCAGCTTGGAAGGATATGTTATATATCTTTATATATGCTTCTAAACTGTTGTATCTGGGCACCTCTGCAAAAAAGAGTGATTTATGTATGAGTGAGGTGAAAGTGTTGAATGATGAGGTTAGTTAGGTTAGGTAAGGTTCGTCAGGAAACAGGACAAATGTTTCCTGACGCGGGTCTTAGTCAGATGATGACCCACCTTTGGAGCTTTTGGTCATCTGACCGAGGCCTTCCGCTGGCTTACCGGTCCACCCCTTTAAAAATTATGGTCATTTATAACCAGTCTGTCTATTTTTAATGATGATGAAAGTATTTTCGTTTTGAGGATTTTTCTTTCCCTTTTTGGGGCACCCTGCCTCAATGGGAGACAGCCGACTTTTTAAAAAAAAAAAAAAAATGTTGGAGTGTGAGCAGGGTAATATTTAGTGAAGGGATTCAGGGAAACCGGTTATTTTTATATAGCCGGACTTGAGTACAATGCCTGCACTTTAAAGGAGGGGTTTGGGATATTGGCAGTTTGGAGGGATATGTTATATATCATTATATATGCTTCTAAACTGTTGTACCTGGGTGCCTTTGCAACAACAGTGATTATGTATGAGTGAGGTGAAAGTGTTGAATGATGATGAAAGTATTTTCTTTTTGGGGATTTTCTTTCTTTTTGGATCACCCTGCCTTGGTGGGAGATGGCCAACTTGTTGAAAAAAAAATTGTTTAAGTTCTTAATGGGGAAGTGAAACAGAATTCTTCCTCCGTAAGCCATGCGTGTCATAAGAGGCAATTAATAACAGGAGCAAGAGGCTAGTAACCCCCTTCTCCTGTATAATATACTAAATTTAAAAAGAGAAACTTTAGTTTTTCTTTTTAGGTCACCCTACCTCAGTGAGATATGGCTGGTTTGTTGAAAGATTTGTTTAAATAGAACTATTACAGAGAATTAAAAGTACATTTTATATAGTGCATTTTTCTTTTATATGCAAACCACAGGAATTAGGTACTTTCAAACTACAAATCAAATTAGAACTTGGCTGTTGCAGACAGCTCCTGGCCCTGATATGTTTGGAACAGAAATGATCAACTGTATTCTATATATACTATAAGACATTCTTTATTTCTACAAATAATATTAAGTGGTTTACAGTATTTTCTACTGAATATAAGTAGCTATTAAGGTATTAGTATATCAGTTAGTAACAAAATTACATACAAGAAATCACATCTATCTTACTAGTTTTATCCAAGACTTCCAGAATGATTGCTTTCTTATGGTGTGTAATATCTGCTTTCTCTAGAAGGTCAAACATATAGCTACCAGGAAAAGGTAGATCCAGAGCCATCTGTTGGGAGAACTATATCATCTACAGCCTGGTAAGAGAGAATAATATCTTTAACGTGGTGTAATTATTGATGCATAAATAATTTCCTGCATATTTATTAATAAGCTGTGCCTGAATTTCAAAATGTTACTTCAGAAATGTAGATGACAATTCTGCATAAAAAAAATTGCTATCCTGTTTCCATTTTAAATTTTTCCTCTTTTTATACATGACAGAAGTGGCAAATGATGCATAACTACTTGGTAGTGTTGAAGAAAACACAAAGCTATTACTACTGTGACATGCCAGTGACTACAATGTTACCACATCAACCTTCCTTTGAACCTAAACACTATGTAATCAGTTGTCACTCAAACCCTTTAATTGAAACTTAGTACCTCATCAAACACACAAAAAATCAAACAAAAACAATTTTTTTTTTTCAACAAGTCGGCCGTCTCCCACCGAGGCAGGGTGACCCAAAAAAGAAAGAAAATCCCCAAAAAGAAAATACTTTCATCATCATTCAACACTTTCACCACTCTCACACATTATCACTGTTTTTGCCACACACACCACACACACACACACACACACACACACACACACACACACACACAAACAAACAAAAAAAAAAAAAAAAAAAAAAAAAAAATGGAGGCTGTGTAATATTTTAAAAAAAATTTTCTATCAAGGTGTTTTCCCTGTGTGTCTCATAACATATAAAAATGACAAATATTTTACCTCTTTTTTACTTTCGTATCCCTTTATTCCTCCTCTTATGTGTTTATAATAGCAATTATCCTGAAAATTTTCTTTTGAAGATTAAAAGGGGCTGTTGGGCTGATGTTCCCAACTACAATCCACTAAACATTTATGTCCTTAAGGTAGCATTCGTGATCCCCCCCTTTCATCAGTAGCAAAAATATAATTAAAAAAATTTAAAAACCCAAAATTCTTTTCTCGGGACACGCAATTATCTTTTTAAACCCCCCTGAAAAACACCTAAAACAACAGTGAACAAAAAAAGTAAAAAAAAAATAAAATTTTAAAAAAAATTCACAAAGCAGAAAAATCTTCTACAACTTTATATGGAAAAAAAAAACGAAAAAAAAAAAAGGACCAAAGAAAATAATACTGAACAAAAATGGAAAAAAAAAAATCAAAGCTAAAGAATAAAAAAAAAGTACATATATAACTTTAAAAATGACCACTTCCCATACACTAAAACTTTTATGTAAAAAACACACTTACCTTTTTAATCTTACAAGAGCAATGCATTGTGAAGGGGATTTGAAAATAAAAAATAAAAAAAAAAAAAAGCAAATATTACCTAAAGAGTCAGATCTCACTTAGATGTCTTTAGCAACGGGCCAATCACGGGCCCTTCACAAGCTCTTCCTCACTTACATTTTCAAGACAAAATGTAAAGCTAACTAAATTTTACGTATAGTAAATCCAGGGCCCCTTATGAAAGAAAAAAATTGGTTTTAATCTATAAACACTGTTGGTAACTGTGAAAAGCAGATGGCACAGCCAAAAAGGGGGCGAAGGTGACGAGAGGAAAGCTTTTTGCCCAAGTGGCAAATGTCCCGGGAAGGGAAGCCCCTTATATTTGTTTTTCGAAAATCCTGTCGTAACTCTGAAGTCAATACATGGACCCCCGTTTAAAAATATTTTTTCACTCCCGAAAAAATTTCAGGTGCCGTACTGACCGGGAATTTTTTCCCCTAAGGAATAAGTGAAGTAGATTGTCCATTTTTAGCCCCCAAACATACACGTCAAAGCACTTACATAAATACACTTACAAATTGGGCGCATTGGGGGGTGATCTTTGCGGGGGGCCCTGATAAAAAAGTTTTTTCTTAAGTCATCAAAAAAAAGGCTATAAAAAAAATTTCATTATAACTTTATGTTGCATAAGATTCCAAAATTTGGGTGGGAAAAAAGACATTTATACAGTAGTATATAACACTAAATTTTTAAAAAAAAAATAACCAAATTTTTTTTTTTTAACAAGTCGGGGGTTCCCCCCGAGCGGGACCCCAAAAAAAAAAAAACCCCCCTAAAGAAAATACTTTCATATCATTCAAACACTTTCACCTCACTCATCATCACTGTCCTTGCAGAGGTGTCCAGATACAAGTTTTGAAGCATATATAAAAATATATCCTGTAGTAGGTGGTAGACAGCAGCCACCCCGGGAGGTACTACCGTCTTGCCAAAAATGTAAAAAGAAAAACCTTAATTGTTTCCCCGTGGGGATTTCTGGTGGCCTTTTTTTCTGTTCCCTAAACAGCAGATTGTTACTTCTACTTCACTAGGCACAATACACATACTACAAAAAAGCATATTATACACACCCCCTGGTTTTTTCTATTTTCTTTCTATTCTTGTTTTTCCTTCATCTCCATGGGGGAAATGGAACAGAATTTTTCCTCCGTAACCATGCGTGTTGTAAGAGGGACTAAAATGCCCGGAGCAAAGGGGCTAGTAAACCCCCTTTTCCCCTATAAATTACTAAATTTTAAAAAAAAAAAAACTTTTTTTTTTTAATTTTTTTTGGGGCCCCTGCCTTGGGGGGATATGGGCCCGGTTTGTGAAAAAAAAAAAATAAAGATATTAACATATCCCTCCAAACTGCAAAAAATATGACACTAATTTTTTTGGGGATCTCCGCTGCGTAGACAGTATGGAATGGTGTTTAACCTGGTTTTTTTTTTGGGGGAAATATTCCTGTTCCTTAACCCCCTTCAGGGTCCCCGGCCAAAATCTGAAGTGGTGCTCCGTTCCAAGAAATTTTTAAAAAAAAAAAAAAAAAAAAAAAAAAAAAAAAATTATTTTTTCTTACAGAATTAAAGAGCATATTTTTGTGAAGGTAATAAGACAAAAAAAAATTTCTGATCAGTACTTACCGAGATACAGTGCCAAGAAGTTTGTCCAAAATGATGTGGTGGCGGCAACATCGACGAATTCCACATACGTGCATTACTTTATTTAGCAGTTTTTGTAGTTTTTTCTTTTCTTTTCCAATTTTTTTCTTTTCCTACTAACATTTGGGGCCTGAGAGACCAATACTGTATATAATGTATATATATATAAACTCACTGTATTGAACACAATAACTGCACTAAATGTATTATCATATTATTGTTTACCACTGTTGTTTATTACAATAAACATGCACAAATCTTGTATAATACTAATGTTCTATCATATATTTACATATTTACAATCACTGGACATGGTTTTAGAACTGCTGGAGCTTGTGGAACTCCTTGAAACAGGGCACTATGCACAGAGGCACCTTACATTCCTCACACATAAACCGAGTGTCTTTGCGTCTTTGTTGTCGTCGTTTTGTTTGTGCACAGACAATGCATCTCTTCTGAGCAAATTTCTTCTGAGTTGAAGGAAGCTGTATTATGAAATGATCACCTTCCCTCCTCAAACGCCTGGGTATATCCTGAGTAATTCGAGGACCTTGTTGTATAGCAGGTGTTCTTACCTGGTACTTCATTATGAGTTGACTGACAACAGACAAACAAAATTCACCATACGGTGGTCTGTTGCCAGTCTTTATTTGGTACATATTATATGCATTGAGCATTGAAAAGTCCATGAGATGGAAGAAAAGTTTCATGTACCACTTGTAACTCTTACGAACACAATCAACAAAACCAATCTGCATGTCACATTTGTCAACCAAGCGCATGTTTTGTGTATAATCAATCACTGTCACTGGTTTTCGAATACGTTCATTAGTCCACTCGATCACTTTGCCACTGTCTTGCATTTCATTTACGGTGAATGGTTGTCAACATGTGACATCTCATTTGTCATGCCACCGTAATGCCATGATGTCATTGGCAGTAAACACCTGCACGTCATCACCATGAGCACCTGCGTTGAGCCTGGGCATATGTTTACGATTAGAACGCACTGTGCCACACACATCTATCTTGTTCACTCGCATGAAATCACTGAGTAATGGGCTTGTGTACCAGTTATCGGTACATAATGTGTGCCGCTTACCAAGATAAGGTGCCATCATGTTTCTCACTACGTCACCTGAGATACCCAATAACATCTTGGTATCTTTCAATGTTTTACTTCCCGTGTATACAACAATATCCAACACCAGGCCATTGTCACAGTCACAGAGTACAAACAGTTTTATACCAAAGCATTTCCTCTTGCTCGGTATATACTGCTTGAATGACAGTCTACCTTTGAACAAAATCAAAGACTCGTCAATTACAAGATTCTTGAATGGATAAAAGTATATGCTGAACTTTTGTTTGAGATACATAAAAACATTTCTAATCTTGTATAACCTGTCACTTCTGTCAGGCCTGGTTTTGTCAGAGAAGTGCAACGTACGTAACAGTAAGATAAACCTGTTCACTGGGATGATTTCACTGAAGACCGGGGTAGAAATTAGCCGATCTGTGGACCAGTATGCTTTTATATTATGCTTATAGACATGAGGCATAAGCATTATTGTTGCAAAAAGCAAATACATTTCTGCAACAGTCGTCTCTTTCCACCTGTGTAGTCTGGATGTGGTGATATGATACGTATTTGCCATGGTGCTACTCAAAATACTTATTACTTTCCCTGACAATAGTTTCCATCAATGGCTGGTCAAAGAATAATTCAAAGAATTCCAGTTCATTGGCCATGGTTCCAAGGGGACAAGCAGGTAGAATTCTACTTTGAGAGTCATCTAAGTGATGGGGCTTAGGAACAAAATTGGGATTTTGCTGCCAATCCCAGATACATTTTGCTGGTGGATACTGGACATCATAGGCTGGTTGTGCAGGTGGTTGTGGTTGTGATTGTGGTGGGCTGGTGGCTGATGCTCCGCTTTGTCCTTGAACTGACGAGTCAGCAGCGTGGGTCCCAGCCTGGGCTGGTGAGTCACGCATGGTGGTGCCACTACCATCACCACTACCACCATCTACTGATGCCTGTGGTCTATCCATGCCAAGTGTAGCCACATCATCCTTACTATCACTATCTAAACCTGGTGTAGGGCCACGGGATGTACTCCGGGATGTACTCCGTCCCCTGGGCACAGCATAGGGTACACTACCCGAGCGCATGCGGCGGCATACATACCGACGCTTCACTGGTGAATATGATTCCTCACTATCACTACTTGAATGATCGTCATGCACAATAAAATCACAATCCACGTCACTATCACCATCATTACTGAAGTCAGAGGCCTGGCCACGCGAAAATATTAGTTTTCTCTTGCGTTGAGGCACAACCGATCGTGAGTCACGAGTGCCCACACCAGAGGTAGAAGGTTGAGGATCGTCAGGGTTTTCTGCACTATTATCGATATCCTGGTCATTCCTTTTGGTCACTAACTGATCAAAGCCATAGAATTCATCTTCATTTCCACTTCCATCAGTGTCAGAACTATCAGATAGGAAGAGGAGAGTCCCAATTTTCCGGGGAGTGAGAGCTGACTTGCGACGAGGCATGGTGAACAAGGGTAACTGAGCCGGCGTTCCCACAATGCTATGCGGGTGCCTAGATTTTCTGTTTATGGCGCACACCCACCACGCAGACCCGTTCTCTCACATGTAGGCCTATGAGCGCTTTCACGCTAAATTTGACGGCACTAGAATTTTGGCGTAGATCTACGGTTTGGACACTCAACGTGAAGCCGTAGATCTACGGGACGGACCCTGAAAGGGTTAAGGACCCGAGAAAGAACTTCAGTATCTACAACTAAACAAAAGCCTGCACTATAGCTTGTCACCAGGGGTCTAAACTATCCTATTACAATACATTTTTTATTTTTATAAAAATATACAGGTGTAGTAAATTTCAATCAATGACAACAATCACTCCAAAGATGATATTATATAGAAAGAAAAGGAAGGTGGGTAAAAAAAACTATTTATAAGTACAGTGGACCCCCGCCTTACGATCAGCTCCCAACTCGAACAATTATGTAAGTGTATTTTTGTACGTGTATTCCTTATGGGAACAAATTCGTTCGGTAACGCCACCCGAACAGACTTCTGGAATGAATTAATATTGTAAGTCGGGGGTCCACTGTATATAGTAAAAAACGAAAGCCTGTAATTGTTTTACATGATGGTAGGATTGCTGGTGTCCTTTTTTCTGTCTCATAAACATGCAAGATTTCAGGTACGTCTTGCTACTTCTACTTACACTTAGGTCACACTACACATACATGTACAAGCATATATATACACACCCCTCTGGGTTTTCTTCTATTTTCTTTCTAGTTCTTGTTCTTGTTTATTTCCTCTTATCTCCATGGGGAAGTGGAACAGAATTCTTCCTCCGTAAGCCATGTGTGTTGTAAGAGGCGACTAAAATGCCGGGAGCAAGGGGCTAGTAACCCCTTCTCCCGCATGAATTACTAAATTTAAAAAGAGAAACTTTCGTTTTTCTTTTTGGGCCACCCTGCCTTGGTGGGATACGGCCGGTTTGTTGAAAAAAAAAAATAAAAAAGTATGTAGTATAGTATATATATCTATCCTAGGAAGAGAATCTTAATGTCAGTGAGAAACTATATGCAATACCTACCCATCAATCCTTAACAAAGAGTACAATAAATCTTACATCTACCTTTTCTAATTCCAAGAAGAGTGCTTTCAACGTATAAAGATCATCTGGACTGAAATCGTCCGGTAAGCCCTGACTGGAGGCATTAGCTGCAATATCTGAACCTTCACTTATGTCCTGAAGCTTCTTCATTACCTGAAAAATTAAATATAAATATAAATATTTTAAGTGACATTACAATACAATAGGTGTCACACATGTGACACCTATTTCTTTCAAAAAATATGTCATCCTTAAAGAAACAGTCTCATGATATAAAAAAAATGTAAAATGTTAAGAATATATTGAAGGAAAGCTTGTATTATTTGCTAACAAATTTTAGAACCTGTTTAGTCAATGGGAAAAAATATGATTTACTTCCTAAACTGTTGTTGAGGACTGCAACTTTTTATTTAGCAGGGACTGCCTATACAATTAAGACAAAGGTAATCAGTTGTTGGAATAATGCATACACTAAATTTGGGTACATAGCCTAGCCAATGTTATCTGAGTAGTTTCCAAATGAATAACTGAAGTCAGTCAGTTATACATCCTATTTCAAAATTCTCCATCCACTTCCTCTATATATTCTTCTGAATTCATTTGAATTAAGAGACAACCTCAGGACTTCCTTCTTAAATCCTGGTCATTGAAAGGGTCCATCACTGATATTGTGGTTTTTATGCAGCATTCACAAAAGGGCCACTAAAGTAAGGCCTGTGAAACCACAATGCTTTATCAAAATTATTATTATTATAATTATGGGGGAGCACTAAACCCATAGGATTATACAGTGCTTGTGGGGGAAAGGGATGGAAGGTATTCAGGCTCAATTCAGGGGACCAGAACACAGATCCAATTCCCTAGATCAATAGCCCCTCACCAGCATCAAGGAACCTCTCTTGAGGGGCTTCATCAAGAGCTAAGGTATATTAGTTCTTCATGAAGCATTGTGGCTGCATAACAGATATTTTCCACTGCCTGAGTGGAGTGTATTATACCCCCATTCACTATAATAAAATAAAAGTTACAAAGTAGTCATTACTTCAGCAAGTTTATTTTCAAATTATTTAAGCAAATTCAAGAATTACTATCTTAATGAGCGCTCAATATGAATTAGGAAATGTTTTTTATCACTTTTTTAAATTTTCAGTATGTGATGAATATCACAGACTACAGCATTTGTAAACATTCATAATTAACCATATACCATTGTCATATATTAAAATAAATAATGAGCACAGAATTTTTTTTAAATATATAATTGTCACTTTGGGCATCAAAAATAGCAATTTCTTTCAGTCAGGCTGTACACTTAACCCTTTGAGGGTCTGTCCCGTAGATCTACGGCTTTACGTTCAGGGTCCAAACCGTAGATCTACGTCATGAGCTCAGCTCACTCTGATAAACTGTGAGTGGTACATTTGGGCCTAGATATGAGAGAATACATATATGTGGTATGTGTGCACCACATAAAACAGATCCTGCAGCACGCTGTGTATAATGAGAGAAAAAAACTGAAATCATGATTTTTCGATTAAAACAGCGACTTTGCAGTGTTTTTTCGTATGTTTTTTATAGTTCTATTTGCGATTTCTTGGTCTCATTTGATAGAATGGAAGACATATTACAGAAATAGAGATGATTTTGATTGGTTTTCGCACTGGAAATGGCTTGAAACTGAGCTCAAAGTAGCAGAAATGTTAAATTTTTGCCGATATTCAAGAGTAAACAAACGACCTCACACGTCTAATACACGCCAGCTGGTGGGTCTAATATGCATTCACAAATATGGTGATGATATTTATACAATTATTACAGTATTGCATAACAGTAAATCTTCTATTTTTTGGTGTGAATAAAAAATAAAAATGGAATTTATTTGTAAAGCCTCAAAACATAACTAATGAACAGAGGAAATGTTAGTTTAGTTCCAGGAATACCTACATTGTTTATTCTGGACCCTATTTTGAAATTGGAATATTTTGAACTTTGTGTTAAATTGGCCAAATTAACAATTTCCGATCACTTTAATTTGTAGTTGAAACAGTTGACTTGGCGATTTCTTGTGCTCAATCGATAGAATAGAAGTAATACTAGTGAAATAGCTAAGAATTTAGCTGACTGGAATAATGTAATTGGCCTAAAATGGGAGTCAAAGTCGGCAAAATCGCCGATTCGTAAATATCGCTGACACATCAAAATTCGCGAGAGCATAATTTCGTCAATTTTCCATCAAATTTCGTACTTTTTGTTTTATTACCTTCACAAAAAGATTCTCTACCATTTCATAAGAAAAAATAACAAATTTTTTTTTTAAAATTCTTGGACACTGGGGCACCACTTCAGATTTGGGCCTTGGACCCTGAAGGGGTTAAAGCAGTCTTGCACTTACCTGAGTAACTTCATCAATGCAAAGAGCCAAATCTGTAGAGCGTATTTGAAGAGATGCAGCTTCTTCACAAACTTTTTCCACATTATGGGCTTCATCAAATATGATAATATTACCCTGTAAATAATGCCCTAATTAATATCTTTAAATTTCTTAGCAAATATTATAATGACAGAAAATAAAAAATAAAACTCTGGTCTTTAGATTTTATATTGATTAAGGAACCAGGTACATAAAAATATTCACAATCTATTTTTACATAAAAAATAAGTTAAAAAGATTTAGGATGAAGACAAGGTTTCAAATACTTGTAAGAAAATCTCACTGCCCTGTGGCATCAATTAATAGTACACTACAGCATAACATTTTGAAGTATGAAAAATTCTTCTGTGTTTTGAAAATGCAACATGTCTGTATAACTTTTATAGCTGTAGTAAGAGCTCTAAGATCATTTTTACTCAGTTAACCTTCTGTGCACATTTTGTTATGTACATACACATCTGCACTCCCCTGCTAACCCAGTGGAGTGCAGGTGTGTCTGGTAAGGAACAGCTGGCAAAAGTAGATAACAGACACCAATGAACATGTAACCCTCCACAGAAAATAGTTTCTCATGTTTCAAAATGAGTATGGATTTAGGTTTCATAAATCACTATAGGAATCCTACCACAAGTACTCAAAATCATGAAAACAAGCAACTGAAAACCTTATGAGAACACTCCAACAGGAGAGCAAGAAGACAGGAAGCTCTCAAACAGTGATATGGATGATTAATAATAAACAAGCTGATAAATAGATATGACAATGTTGATGAGACCAGAGGATATCTCATACAAACCCTGGACAAGGCCCTTCATCATGAGGTACAGGTTGCCATCACTAATCCAGCAATCAGTAATCCGGTTCCATCAGTAATCTGGTACTAATTTCGGCTAGCATAACTTCAAATTTCCGGCATCGCCACACCAACCTGCCACTACTGTTTGGCAGCGCTAATTGCTGCATAAGTCATTCCAATTTCTTTTTCTCCATTTACTGTTAAAACCTGCTCACTTTTAGCCCTAGCCATGGTTCCAACAAATAAAAGAGATGTTTCTCACTGTGTAAAGTACCTACACCGCGCATTGTTCATAAAAGATAAGGTGGCTTGAAGCCACTGTCAGTCGCCATGAGCTCAGCTCAACGAGATAAGCTGTGACCAGTAAATTTGGGCCTACATTTGAGAGAATAGGTCTGTGTGGTAAGTGTGCACTACATAAAAAAATCCTGAGCACGCGGTGCATAGTGAGGGAAAAAACTGCGACCGTGTTTATGGTGTAAACCCAACTTTACAGTGTATTTTCACATGGTTTGCATGGTGTATTCTCGTTTTTTTGGTCTCATTCAATAGAACAGAAGATACTTTACAGAAATAGATATAATTTTGATTGGTTTCATGCTAGAAAGTATCCTAAAATTGAGCTCAAAGTAACAGAAATGTTCGATTTTTGCCGATGTTCCAGAGTAAACAAATGACATCACTGTCCAATACGTGTCCAACGGGCAGGTCTAATAGACACTCATGAATGGGTTGACATTATTTATACAATTATTACAATAATGCAGTAGTCTTCATAACAGTAAATCTTTTATGTTTGTGTGAATAAAAGTTAAAAATGGAAAGCAAGCATAATATAAGAAGGGCCTGGAGATGTAACTAATGAACATAGAAAATGTTATTTTAGTGCTAGAAGTGTCTGCATTGTTTATTCTGGACCCTATTTTGAAACTGGCATCTTTGGAAATTTGTGCAAAATTGGCCAAATTACCAATTTCTGACCACTTTATTGGGTAGCTGAAAGAGGTGACTGGGCAGTTTCTTGTACTCAGTTGACAGAATAGAAGGAATACTAGCAAAATAGCTATGAGTTTGGTAGACTGGAACAATGGAATGGGCCAAAAATAGGGCATAAATTGGGTGAAATCGCCAATGCATAAATATTGCCGTTGGGTTATGTGTATTCTAACCTAACCACTCTGTAATCTGGCAAAATCACTAATCCGGCACCCTACAGGTCCCAATGCTGCCGGATCAGTGATGGCTAACCTGTACAAGATTTTTCTGACTTAAGCTAGCCAGAAAAATCTTGACCACTGCAAACACACACACAAAAAAAACAAACACAGAAACAGGAGAAATGCATTTGTAATATCTTAACCCTTTCATTGTCCAGACCCCCAATCTGACACTTGTCCACACTGTCCAAGAATTTAAAAAAAAAAATAATTTATTATTTTTTCTTATGAAATGGTAGAGAATGTTTTTCGGAAGGTAACAAAACAAAAAGTATGAAATTTGATGGAAAACTGACGAAATTACACTTTTGTGAATTTTGCTGTCAGCGATATTTACGCATTGGCGATTTTGCCCATTTTGAGTCCTATTTTAGGCCAATTACATTGTACCAGTTGACTAAATTCTTAGCTATTTCATTAGTATGTCTTCCAATTCATCGACTGAGCACAAGAAATCACCCAATCAACTATATTTCAACTACCCAATAAAGTGATCAGATTATTATATTATTATAATCAAAGAAAGAGCTAAATTGACAAGGGTTATACAACTAAAGTGATCAGAAATTGATAATTTGGCCAATTTCACAAATTTCAAAGTAGGGTCCAGAATAAACAATGCAGGCATTCTTGGCACTAAAATAACATTTCCTCTGTTCATTAGTTATGTTTCCAAGTTTTATACATTATTCCATTTTTATTTTTTATTCAACACAATTTTTATTCACAAAAAAATAGAAGATTTATTGTTATGCAATATTGTAAAAATTATATAAATAATATCAGTGCATTCATGAACGCATATTAGACCCACCAGTCGGGCATGTATTGGATGAGCAACATGATTTGTTTACTCTTGAATATTGGCAAAAATCAAACACTTCTACTACTCTGAGCTCAATTTCAAGCTATTTTCAGTTCTGAAACCATTAAAATCAACCTACTTCTATAATATATCTTCCATTCTATCAAATGAGACCAAGAAACTGAGAATACAACCATAAAAAACCACAGTCACTGTTTTAAACCAAAAAACATGGACACAGTTATTTTTCTCATTATGCATTGTGTGCTGCAGGATTTTTTTATATTGTGCACCCTGCACCCTTACCACATAGACCCATTCTCTCATATCTAGGCCCAAATTTACTGCTCACAGCTTATCTGAGTGAGCTGAGCTCATGGCATAGTACTATAGCATGGACAGTGACCTCAAAGCTGTAGTACTATGGCATAGCCAATGAAAGGGTTAAGGAACTTTTCATAATCAAGCTGATACTTCAGGAATCTAATCATCCCTATAGAGAATTACTAATGTTAGGATTTAAAGATTAGGTTTTCCTGAATGGGCATCCTGATATGTTACTCCCTTTGTTTGTAGTATACAGTAATGGTATGTAGGAAAGGATATGACAGAAGAGTTACCACATTTGATTTTCAGTTTAGTCTTGGTCAGGCCAGTGGGATACTCTGAGGATCATTGTGAACCTATCCATAAGAGTACTAAAACATGGAAGAGTCTCTGACCTTATCGACGAACATTCTGAATGCCCTGTGATGTATAATTTATGTTTTTTTTTGTTCTTTTTCAACAAGTCGGTCGTCTCCCACCGAGGCAGGATGACCCAAAAAAGAAAGAAAATCCCCAAAAAGAAAATACTTTCATCATCATTCAACACTTTCACCACACTCACACATTATCACTGCTTTTGCAGAGGTGCTCAGAATACAACAGTTTAAAAGCATATACGTATAAAGATACACAACATATCCCTCTAAACTGCCAATATCCCAAACCCCTCCTTTAAAGTGCAGGCATTGTACTTTCCATTTCCAGGACTCAAGTCCGACTATATGAAAATAACAATAATAGAGAGAGGTGAAGGTTTATAAACTAAAAGAGGAGGCAGTTAGGGTAAGATATAAACAGCTATTGGAGGATAGATGGGCTAATGAGAGCATAGGCAATGGGGTCGAAGAGGTATGGGGTAGGTTTAAAAATGTAGTGTTAGAGTGTTCAGCAGAAGTTTGTGGTTACAGGAAAGTGGGTGCAGGAGGGAAGAGGAGCGATTGGTGGAATGATGATGTAAAGAGAGTAGTAAGGGAGAAAAAGTTAGCATATGAGAAGTTTTTACAAAGTAGAAGTGATGCAAGGAGGGAAGAGTATATGGAGAAAAAGAGAGAAGTTAAGAGAGTGGTGAAGCAATGTAAAAAGAGAGCAAATGAGAGAGTGGGTGAGATGTTATCAACAAATTTTGTTGAAAATAAGAAAAAGTTTTGGAGTGAGATTAACAAGTTAAGAAAGCCTAGAGAACAAATGGATTTGTCAGTTAAAAATAGGAGAGGAGAGTTATTAAATGGAGAGTTAGAGGTATTGGGAAGATGGAAGGAATATTTTGAGGAATTGTTAAATGTTGATGAAGATAGGGAAGCTGTGATTTCGTGTATAGGGCAAGGAGGAATAACATCTTGTAGGAGTGAGGAAGAGCCAGTTGTGAGTGTGGGGGAAGTTCGTGAGGCAGTAGGTAAAATGAAAGGGGGTAAGGCAGCCGGGATTGATGGGATAAAGATAGAAATGTTAAAAGCAGGTGGGGATATAGTTTTGGAGTGGTTGGTGCAATTATTTAATAAATGTATGGAAGAAGGTAAGGTACCTAGGGATTGGCAGAGAGCATGCATAGTTCCTTTGTATAAAGGCAAAGGGGATAAAAGAGAGTGCAAAAATTATAGGGGGATAAGTCTGTTGAGTGTACCTGGTAAAGTGTATGGTAGAGTTATAATTGAAAGAATTAAGAGTAAGACGGAGAATAGGATAGCAGATGAACAAGGAGGCTTTAGGAAAGGTAGGGGGTGTGTGGACCAGGTGTTTACAGTGAAACATATAAGTGAACAGTATTTAGATAAGGCTAAAGAGGTCTTTGTGGCATTTATGGATTTGGAAAAGGCGTTATGACAGGGTGGATAGGGGGGCAATGTGGCAGATGTTGCAAGTGTATGGTGTAGGAGGTAGGTTACTGAAAGCAGTGAAGAGTTTTTACGAGGATAGTGAGGCTCAAGTTAGAGTATGTAGGAAAGAGGGAAATTTTTTCCCAGTAAAAGTAGGCCTTAGACAAGGATGTGTGATGTCACCGTGGTTGTTTAATATATTTATAGATGGGGTTGTAAGAGAAGTAAATGCGAGGGTCTTGGCAAGAGGCGTGGAGTTAAAAGATAAAGAATCACACACAAAGTGGGAGTTGTCACAGCTGCTCTTTGCTGATGACACTGTGCTCTTGGGAGATTCTGAAGAGAAGTTGCAGAGATTGGTGGATGAATTTGGTAGGGTGTGCAAAAGAAGAAAATTAAAGGTGAATACAGGAAAGAGTAAGGTTATGAGGATAACAAAAAGATTAGGTGATGAAAGATTGAATATCAGATTGGAGGGAGAGAGTATGGAGGAGGTGAACGTATTCAGATATTTGGGAGTGGACGTGTCAGCAGATGGGTCTATGAAAGATGAGGTGAATCATAGAATTGATGAGGGGAAAAAGAGTGAGTGGTGCACTTAGGAGTCTGTGGAGACAAAGAACTTTGTCCTTGGAGGCAAAGAGGGGAATGTATGTGAGTATAGTTTTACAACGCTCTTATATGGGTGTGAAGCGTGGGTGATGAATGTTGCAGCGAGGAGAAGGCTGGAGGCAGTGGAGATGTCATGTCTGAGGGCAATGTGTGGTGTGAATATAATGCAGAGAATTCGTAGTTTGGAAGTTAGGAGGAGGTGCGGGATTACCAAAACTGTTGTCCAGAGGGCTGAGGAAGGGTTGTTGAGGTGGTTCGGACATGTAGAGAGAATGGAGCGAAACAGAATGACTTCAAGAGTGTATCAGTCTGTAGTGGAAGGAAGGCGGGGGTTTAGGGGTCGGCCTAGGAAGGGTTGGAGGGAGGGGGTAAAGGAGGTTTTGTGTGCGAGGGGCTTGGACTTCCAGCAGGCATGCGTGAGCGTGTTTGATAGGAGTGAATGGAGACAAATGGTTTTTAATACTTGACGTGCTGTTGGAGTGTGAGCAAAGTAACATTTATGAAGGGATTCAGGGAAACCGGCAGGCCGGACTTGAGTCCTGGAGATGGGAAGTACAGTGCCTGCACTCTGAAGGAGGGGGTGTTAATGTTGCAGTTTAAAAACTGTAGTGTAAAGCACCCTTCTGGCAAGACAGTGATGGAGTGAATGATGGTGAAAGTTTTTCTTTTTCGGGCCACCCTGCCTTGGTGGGAATCGGCCGGTGTGATAATAAAAATAAAAAATAAATAATTTATGTATATAGATTATATACAGCCTGTGTGTTGAAAGAAAGAAAGATTTTAAATTCAGACCTGAAGCTCAATGCCATGTGCCTTACGGCTCTTGGGGTCAAGCAAGTAATTATAAGGCAAGAAGATGATGTCTGCATCCTGTTTCAGTTCTCGTGCCATGTAGTATGGGCAGAAAGATTTCTTCTTGCCAAACTTGACCAAGTCTTCAAGATCAAGTACTTTCTGACGTAGCTCGGGCTCATCTCTTTTTGCTTCAACCTGAAGAGTTAAAATTTCAACAATATTCTTTCATTGTAAAGCATTTCTGCAAATACTGCAATTTATAAAAAATAGCAAAGAGAAAATACAGTAGCATACTACACTTCATAAGAGGAATTAAAATAATTTCCTTTCAAAATATTTATTGCACTGCATAATTGTAAATGTTTCAGGAGAAATTAAATCACCATCCCTAGGATTTTTCTGTAAACAACCACAAGAATGTCAAATATAAAATAAACATTGAAAATATCATCAATTTATAAATACAGTGGTACCTTGGGATATGAACCGCTCAAAACTCGAACAATTATGTAAGTGTATTTATGTAAGTGCTTTTGTAGGTGCATTTTTGGGGGTTTGAAACGGATTAATCTAATTTACGTTATTCCTTATGAGAACAAATTCGTTCGGTATCGGCACTCAAACAGCCTTCTGGAACGAATTAAGTTCGTATCCCAAGGTAAAACTGTAGTTGAAAATTTTTATTTTAAATTAGGCACTGCTGTAAGCTTAGAAATATAACTGTATTCATATTATTGTATTATGATGATAACCAATCAGTACTGGAGGGTCTGTGAAGTAATTCTTTACATTGGTTACCAAGGCTCCTTAACTGGTTTGATATTAGCATTAATGATGGTACCTTCATCTTGTATATATAATATAAGTAGGCAACTAGGAAAACTAGATATCTCTTTATTTAGTATGATGAGAAAATATACAGACAAGCTGTAGGGATTAAGTCAAATAATATATGAACCTTATTTGTTGACAATAGATCTAAGATCATCAGAAAAACTTAAAAAATACATGAATCTAAATCAGGAACATACCTGAGTGTTAAAGTAGCAGGTCTTAGATTTAACCTTAGACTGGCACATGTGGACCTTGAGGTTATTATTACCTTCCTTAGAGACTTCTGGGTGAACGCACATCTGATCACGCGATCCCATGATTGCTACCTGACAGAGGAAAGGGAGGTAAAAATATTAAATCAAATGTATGGGGATTACCAAATCTTATTATTTATCAGTACACTAACATGGAGAACATCATGTCTTGGGCATTTCAAAACAATCCTCAAAACCAAGTTTACTCTTTTTAATTAAAATTATTGTACCATTTCTTTGTCACAATTTAAATTTTTCCTTGAAAATTACACTGGCAAACAATGGCTTCAGTTCATGTTTAAAAGCATACTGTATGCTTATAACTAATTTTGGGGCTTAGAATTTAAATCTAAACCTAGTTTTGTTCCAACACTTATAGTTTCATTGAAACAGAACCCTGAAGTGAACACTTTCACCAAGACATAACTATCATGAAGAAGAGATATCAGGGAAACCTGATGATCAATATCATGGCTAACTACTACCGTGATGTAAAAATAGTTTGGTCATTTAGAGAGATTGAAATTAGGATGACTTGGAGGGTATATAAATCTGTAGTAGAGGGAAAGCAGAGTAGGGGTCATCCTAGGAAAGGATGGAGAGAGGGGAAAGTAAAGAAGGTTTTGTGTGCAAGGGGCTTGGCATGTGTGCAGAAATGTGTGAGCGTGTTAGATGGGAGTGGAGACAAATGGTTACTGGAACTTGACAAGCTGTTGAGTGTGAGCGGGGCAATATTTTGTGAAGGGATTCAGGGAAACTGGTTAGCCAGACTTGAGTCCTGGAAATGGGAAGTACAATGCCTGCACTTTAAAGGAGGGGTCTGGGATATATACAGTTTAAAGGGACATCTAAACTGTCATATCTGAGTGCCTCTGCAAAGACAGTGTTTTTTTTTTTTCTTTCTTTTTGGGCTACCCTGCCTTGGTGAGAAACAGCCAATGTGTTAAAAAAAATAACAAATTTTACATGTATTGTACAATCTCAAGAAAATAATTGTTCAAACATATAATGAATAAATTATGAAGAAAATACAATTACAGTAAAAAATCTCATTATTAGATTCTGGTAATTTTGCACAAAAAAAAACTGACATCACAAATGCTCTAATTATTGGACAACATGGGCAGAGGTTCATAATCCCACATTTTGCCCATATCAATAGTCTCCAGTTGTCCTCTGAAGTACTGGACTAAGTCTGCTAACGTCTTCTAAGTCATCTATGTCTTCTCAGCCATTTACATCTCAGGCATCTACATCTCAGCCATCTATGTCTTCTCAGCTCTCTACATCTTCCCAGGCATCTATATAAGTTTCACTGGTAGAGCCTTACAGCTCCTCTGACTCATAATGAAAGTTAGCCTGATTCACCACTATCAATCACTGCAGTTTATACCTCATCTCCCTACCACAAAAAGGTTAGTAAAATTACTGTAAATTATGTTGAGTACTATACAATTACTATATAGTACAGTAGTGTACTGTAGTACTACAGGTTACAATACCCACATTCTTAGTGTCCAGTAGTCTGCTGCATCAGCAGACCAAGTCCACTTCAGAAGACAACCGGATGATCATGAAATATATAGTATACAGTGGACCCTCGGTTATCAGTTGTTCCAGCTATCGGCCAACTCGGTCACCAGCCAGGTTTTCAGCTCCCAGTTATTGGTCGTTATTTCGGTTATCAGCCGTATGGGACGCGTCAACCAGCCAGCCGCCATGGCTTGTGCATCAGTCTAGCTGTGTCTCTGGGTGAGTGAGGAAGCTTGTGCTCATTCATCCAAACATTTCCATTGTTTTTGGAGGTTTTTCATTAAATGCAACTGTGAAATAAGTTACCATGGCCCAAAAGAAAGTTCCTAGTAAAGTTCCTTTGGTAAAGAAAGTGAGAAACGCCATGGAATTTAAGAAACAAGTTGTTGAAAAATATGAGAGTGGCCTTCGAGTGCTTGAGCTTGCCAGGATATATGGGGAAAACAAATCAACAATCACTTTTATCCTGGCAGAGAAAGAACAAATCAAGCAAGCTGATGTGGTGAAAGGGGCAAATGTGCTAACCAAACAAAGACCACCAATAATTGAAAATATGGAGAAGTTATTGTTGTTGTGGATCACCAAAAAACAATTAGCGGGAGACAGTGTTGTGGAATCCATTATTTGTGAGAAGGCAAGGCAGTTGCATGCAGATCTTGTAAAGAAAATGCCTGGAACAAGTGCTGATGTTAGTGAATTCAGGGCCAGCAAAGGCTGGTTTGAGAGATTAAAGAAGGGTACTGGTATATACAGTGTGGTAAGGCATGGCAGGGCTGTAAGTTCTGACAAATGTGCGACTGAAAAACTTGTACAGGAATTCCAGGGGTACATAAAGGCTGAAGGATTCAAACCCCAACCCCAGTTGTAGCAAAACAGGCCTGTTTTGGAAGAAAATGCCAAAAAGGACCTACAATACTCAGGAGGAACAGACACTGCCAGGCCATAAGCCTATGAAAGACAGGCTTACTCTTTTGTTCTGTGCTAATGCTTGTGGGGATTTCAGAGTGAAGCCTCTATTGGTGTATCACTCTGAAAATCCCAGTGTTAAAAAAAAAAAATGTTGTCAAGGATAGATTGTGTGTGATGTGGAAAGCTAACAATAAGGCATGGGTCACAAGGAATATTTTCAAAGAGTGGGTCACTGATGTGTTTGGCCCCAGCGTGAAAAAATACCTCCTGGAAAATAAATTGCCACTCAAGTGCCTCCTGGTACTGGACATTGCTCCTGCTCATCCTCCAGACTTGGAAGACCAGTTGTTTAGGGACTTCAGGTTTATAGCAGTGAAATTCTTGCCTCCTAACACCACTTCTCTCCTCCAGCCCATGGACCAGCAGGTCATTTCTATCTTCAAAAAAACTATACCAAAGCAGTGTTTCAAAGGTGCTCTGAAGTGACCTTGGACAGAAATTTAACCCTAAGAGAGTTCTGGAGGAATCACTTCAATATCCTCCACTGCATAAGCCTTATAGGTAAGGCTTGGCAGGGAGCGACTTCCAGGACTTTGAACCCTGCCTGGAGAAAACTGTGGCCATGCTGTGTCCAAGAGAGGGATTTTGAAGGGTTTGAGGCTGACCCTGAGGACCCTCTGTCTGTTGTGGATTCTGTTGTGGCATTGGGGAAGTCCATGGGGTTGGAAGTTAGTGGCAAAGATGTAGAAGAATTGATGGATGCTATAGGGAAGAGCTAACCACTGAAGAGCTGCAAGAGATTCAATTCGAACAGCAACAGACTGCAGCTATGGAACTTGCTTCAGAGGAGGAGGAAGAGGGAGTGAAGGAGGTGCCTTCTTCAAAGATTAAAGAGATTTGTGCAATGTGGACTAGGGTGCAAGCACTTGTAGAGAAATACTACCCTGACCATATCTGCAACGTGTTCAGTGACAAAATTTTGTCCCAATTCAGGGAAATCTTAGAGATGCCAGAAACAGAGCACTCTTGACAGTTATTTTGTGTGACAGGTATGCAGTGACTCTCAAGCTGGTCCTAGTGGTATTAAAAGACAAAGAAGGGAAGTAACCCCAGAGAGGGACTTGTTACCTGAAGTTATTATGGAGGGGGATTCCCCTTCCAAACAATAACCCCAACTCCCTCTCTCGTCCTCCCTATCTTCCGTAAGTCAAGAAAAGTCGTCAATAAAGGTATGTAATATTGATTTAATTGTTCATGTATTTATTTTAAATCATTAATTAATAAAACATTATTTTTGTGAATATTTTTGGGTGCCTGGAACAGATTAATTGTATTTACATTAATTTTTATGGGAAATATTATTTCGGTTATCAGATATTTCGGTTTTAGGCCGAGCTCCTGGAACGGACGACAGCTGATAACGAAGGGTCCACTGTACATACTAATTTCATAAATCGAGAGTCATGGACAATCGGCATTATCATACACCCCTACCCCCCTATATGATATGTGGGACAGTATTTACATGCTGCAACATTAGATGTTGCCTTTCATATCTGGTCTCCAAGTCAGGGTCAGGAAGCTATAGCTTTCACTGTACCCTAGAATACAGATCACCAATTATCTGGTTACTCATGACTCCAACATTATCTGGAGGTCAGGTGAGACCTAGAACTTAAATAGATAATGCAAAAATAGGAGTGTGCAAATCAAAAGAACCATACTATATTGGTAAATACTGTGATCATTTGGTGTTGCTGAAAATCCGGTGAAGCCTTTTCGCCGAAGGGACCATATATCAATGGTCAAAAGCACAGTTGCAGTACCAGTGTTCCTTCTTTCTTATGTTCTTATGTTCTTATAAGGTTTTGTAATAACATGATTTCTGCATCAGGGCCTAATAAACCACAGGGAACTCAACCAGCACACTTGTACACCTCCACTCACCTCTTATTAACAACTGCCTTTCACTCACTTTTTTACCTCCTTTCTGACAACTGTTTGCAAGCTGTTTTCCCATTTCTGTGGGGTGTTATGAAATACTACATATATACATACTAATAAAATAACACATGCATGTTTGCATCCACTCACTCTCATGCATGGCACATGAATTGCAAGGGAACACACACAAAAGGGAGAGAGAGAGAGAGAGAGAGAGAGAGAGAAGGAGAGTTGAAGAGTCAGAGAACAAGCTAGAGTGAGTGAGAGAGTTAGTTAGCTACTGTAGTTAGCTTTGCTCTATTGCATATTATACAATAAATCATCACTTTATAGTACCCTTAAATAGCTGTATGATGTTCGTTTCAATTCACTTATAGCTTGACTCAGCTGCGAATGTGTCCGAGATGAATAAATTATTTTTGGTGGAGCTGAAAAAGAAACAAAAAATTACATAAACAGATTGCTTGAATGTGTATGTAATTACTTATTTATGGTTTCTACCTATTCACATGAATCTTTGCATTTACTTTGCCTAACTGTGTCTGGAGAGGTTAAGCCCTAGGGCTAGAGCCTCCTTTGCACTTTAAATGAATTTGGTAGCTAGCGTATTGCGATAGGTGGCATTAATATGTTTGTCAGAAAACAGGACAGGTGTCTCCTGACAAGGGTCTTTATTATATATTGCCCCATTAAGTGATTAGGCATCCACTGACCTACTGGAGCAAACTTTTACACCTATAAAAAAAAAAAGAGAGAATCACTACCTAGCAGTGTCCTAAAATATAAGTGATAATCTATTTGTTGTTATAGGAGTAGAGATTTCTTCATTGTCACATTGTTACAGTACAAGTCATCATAAAGCAGGCCCCAAAGGCTCATGGGCCAAAGTGCAGCTGGAAAACTTGCTCTTATGGTAGTTATACTCCTAACCTCTCTCCCACCATTTACTCTCGTTTCTTGATCATTTTTTTTTATTTACAAAAATCATTTTTTTTTATGGACTAAGAGCTGTTACCTTACCTCAGCACATCGCAAAGCTCAGCCCCATCTAAGGTATACTACCATCGCACAGAATGTGACTTACAACAGTCAACTAACACCCAAGTAACTACTTACTGCTAGGTGAACAGGGGCAGTAGGAGTATAGAAACATACCAGCATTTTCACCGATGCCAAGGATTGAACCATGGACATTCAGTATGTGATCCAAGTGTGCTGCCAACCATGCCACACAACACCAGTTATCTCATCCTTCTTTCTTAGGCCAAGATAATACCCATCTCCCTCATTAAACTGTGCTCATCCAAAACCCCAATGCTTACATGACATAGGTTTATCCTCTGATCCCAGTGTGTTTCCCAGAAAGTACCTCAAACCTTTCAAGAATCCTTCAACACCAGACTCTTCCTGCAGCCTCACTGTGGTAATCCTTGTTGTATAACACATGAGACTATGTTGACAATTAACCATACAATACCTAGAAGGCACAATTCTTGATCTCTGCCATACATACAGCTTACTTTTGTTAATACTGTTTATATTAATGCCTACACCTCTGGTCTGCACAATTTTTTTTTTTTTTTTTTTTTTTTTTTTGCCACACTGAGTTTCTCCCTTTGCAAGATTTATTTTTAGGATTGTTCTTCCAAGAAACTATGCCCCATGGTTGCACCTGTAGACCTTTCTGCTTCATAAATTTTGTCACTAGCATGTTATTTTCTTACCAGGATCATTACTTTTCTTGAATTACCCATTTTGTCCCCCACACTCCAAAAAAATAAACCTGTTGGATGTCATGCTCTGTCCAACGGTGGTGTGCCCATGTCTGTATACACGTGAACATAAATAAGGAAAAAAATATACAATACACAGTAACTAATACTCACCATTTTTATCTCCCCACATTTGCCCTGCTGCAGCTTTTAATTGTGAACTTAGTGATGAAAGAAAATCCGGAGTGTCTTGACCACTAGAAATTTGCATGTGAGATTTATATTCAGCCTTCTTGATCTCCAGCCAAGCCAAGGTAGAACACAGCAGGCAGAGTGTTTTGCCTGTCCCAGTTGGTGACTCAAGGATTCCATTCTCACCCTAATGAAAAGCACATTTTCATTAATAACCAATCACATGGAAAGTATTCTAAATAATTTATCAAATTTATATGTAGGAGACTTTATCACTGGTATAGTTCAATGTGAAAAACAGAATACAGTAAATATAATATTTGCACATGGAAATAAACACAATGAATTTTCTCCTTGCAGGGCACCTCTGAAAAAAACAATGATTATGTGCGAATGATGGTGAAAGTGTTTCTTTCTTTTCAGTCACCTTGCCTCGGTGGGAGACGGCTGACGTGTTGCAAAAGACAAAAAAAAAAATGCAAGAGGGACTACAGACATTATAAAGCACTGTACCCCCCAAAAATACAGAGGTACAACTAATATACTTGTTAAAAAATCCAAATTCGTATATTTTTCATGTCTTATGAGCTACGCAGGAGTTACAGTACATATACGTAATATGTTACACAACTTGATACAAATTTAGGCACAGACAAAAACCATTAATCATACAATGTATTTCAGGCAAGCTAATCATAAGGCTTACATACTACTAAAATCTAGATTTAGAATAATATGTAAGACTTTGAGTATCAGTACAGCTTGCATAAATCACTACAATCACAGATACAATAAGAAGCTGCAAATGGCAAACTAATCAAGTACAAATATATTACATAGAATTTACATCAGTTCAATGCTCTGCATTTTATGGAGTGATTGAATTGAGGTGGTTCACTCAAAGCATGAGAATTTACTGACAGCTAATGGATATAACATTTATATGAGATTTAACAGGTGCTTTTTAACAATATTTTAAAAGATGTTTTGGCATTTTCAGGCAGTGAGTTCCAAATTTTTGGGCCTTTTATTGTATGAAGTTTTTGAACAGGTTGAGACATACATGTGGAATGTCAAAGAGATACTTACATTTGTACAGAGTTCATGTTTTTTGCTGCAACTCTCCAGATAGAACTTAAATTCTGGGTTAATGTTTGAGTTGAGAATCCTAAAGACATAGCATGCACAGTAAAAAAAACAAAGTGTAAAAAGTGTGAATATTTTGTATGTGAAAAACTAAGCTTTTGAATCAAAGGAAGTGTGTGTTTTCTGGGGCCTGAATGAGTGATGGATGAGTGTTGGATTTATTGAACTTAATTAACTAAGCAGAAATACTCTCATACTCACACGCTGTAAACAGTCAATCACTTTTGACATGTAAGTCTTCTGGACTTCATAAGGCTCAAAGGGAAACCTCACTGGGACTCCATTAAGTACAACCTCAGGCATGTTGTCTGAATCAGTAGTTTCATAGCTATATGCTAACACTTGCACACAATATTTTTCTTCATAAAACCTGCTAATATAGCCATTCAGTTGACATGCCCTGAAACCCCAAAAACAAGAGTAAAATTAGTAATAATAATATTAATAATCCATGGGAAAGTGGAGAAGAATCCTTCCTCTGTAAACCACATGTCATAGGAGGCAACTAAAATGCCGAGAGTAAGGAGCTATTAACTCCTTCTCCTGTATAAATTCCTTAATATAAAAGGAAAACTTATGTTTTTCCACTTTTGGGTCACCCTGCCTTGGTGGGAGACAGCCAATGCATTAAAAAAATAATAATAACAATAAATATAGTGATAGAGAAGCACTAAACCCATAGGGGATATACAACACTTGGGAAATAAATGGGGTCAGTATTGAGTTTATGATTATTTTTTTAATTACATAAATTTTTTAACATTCAATAGGTTATGCAACTGAAATAGCTTTGTATTTTAGGAGTAAAGGAGCAAAAACAAATTTTTGATAACACAAAAAATTTAATCTAACTTGGATTTTAACTCCTAATCTAGAACTGGTTAGGTTGGATTATTTTTTCTTATTTTAGTTACTACAAAAAAGCAACTTTTTTTCTTAGAGGCCTCTAATAAGTAACTGTGTTAATGGCACATACCACATACCCTTAAATGATCCAAACGTATATATACGTTTTTTCAACATCTGAAAGTACATATGTAAAAAAATGTAGATCTTCTTTTTCGTTTTACATTTGAAAACGTGTAAAAAAAAATTTTATCTACATTTTTTTTTGTTATACAGTGGACCCCCGCATAGCGAACTTAATCCGTGCAAGAGGGCTGGTCGTTATGCGAAATGTTCGCTATGCGAATTAATTTTCCCCATAAGAAATAATGGAAATAAAATTAATCCGTGCAAGACACCCAAAAGTATGAAAAAAAATTTTTTTTACCACAAAAAAAATGTTAATTTTAGTACACACAAACTGAAAAAGGCATGCACAATTACATGACACTTACTTTTATTGAAGATCTGGTGATGATTGATGGGATGGGAGGAGGGGAGAGAGAGTGTTAGTGTTTAGAAGGGGAATCCCCTTCCATTAGGACTTGAGGTAGCAAGTCCTTTTCTGGGGTTACTTCCCTTCTTCTTTTAATGCCACTAGGACCAGCTTCAGAGTCACTGGACTTCTTTCGCACAACATATCTGTCCATAGTGGCCTGTACCTCTCGTTCCTTTATGATTTGTCTAAAGTGGTTCACAACAGTGTCATTGTAACAGTCACCAGCACGGCTTGCAATAGCTGTGTGAGGGTGATTTTCATCAAAAAAGGTTTGCACTTCAAGCCATTTTGCACACATTTCCGTAATCTTTGAAGTAGGCAATTCCTTCAATTTCTCTCTCCCCTCCTTTGAACCAGTTTCCCCAGGTCTGGCCTCTTGCTCTTGAAGTTGATCTATCAGCTCATCAGTGGTTAGTTCTTCATTGTCCTCCTCCACCAACTCACCATGCCGTATCACACTATGGATGCCACTACGCTTCTTAAATCTCTCAAACCAACCTTTGCTGGCCTTAAATTCACTCACATCATCACTAGTTGCAGGCATTTTTTTAATTAAATCGTCATGCAACTTCCTAGCCTTTTCACATATGATCGCTTGAGAGACGCTATCTCCTGCTAGCTGTTTTTCATTTATCCACACCAATAAGAGTCTCTCAACATCTTCCATCACTTGCGATCTTTGTTTCGAAAACACAGTTAAACCTTTGGCAACAACAGCTTCCTTGATTGCCGTTTTCTTGCCCACAATAGAAGCGATGGTTGATTTTGGTTTCTTGTACAACCTGACCAGGTCGGTGATACGTACTCCACTTTCATACTTATCAATGATCTCTTTCTTCATTTCAATGGGTATTCTTACCCTTTGAGGTGTAGGGTTGGCACTAGAAGCTTTCTTGGGGCCCATGGTCACTTATTTTCCACAAACAGCACCGAAAACACTGTAATAATACGAAATATTCCGAGTGTATGCTTGAATGTTACCGCGGAGGCTGGCTGGTAAACAATGGGACGGGCGGCACATGTGAGGCTGGCTGAGGGCGCACATTGGACGCGTCTCGGACGAAGGTCGCTGAGCGGGTTTTTGTCCACTATGCGGGGCAAAATTTTAGCGAACAAAGCGTTCGCTATGCGGATTGTTCGCTATGCAAGGCGTTCGCTATGCGGGGGTCCACTGTATTTGAAAACATGTAAAAAAAAGTAGATCTACTTTTGTAGCACTACGAATTTGAACGTCGATCTGTTTGGACCGTTTAAGGGTTAATATTGGAAAATTTGCATAATACTCTATTGAGAAGCTCAGAAACACAGCCACAGACTCAATACTGATCATAAGGTGTCCTGTAGCTCGAATGCTAGTGCACTCAGCTCACACACTGAGGTCCATGGTTTGATCCCCAGTATGGATGGAAACATTAGTACGCATTTCCTTAAGACATCTGTTGTTCTTGTTCACCAATCAGTAAAATAGGTACCTGGGTTTTAGTCGACAGGGGTGGGTCGCATCGTAGGGAAAAAATTTACCTAATTTGCCTGAAATGCTCTGCATTATAAAAGACTTTCTATACAGTAGTATGTCATTGATGGGGCTGTGGTGGCCTGGTGGCTAAAGCTCTCGCTTCACACGGCAAGGGTCTGGGTTCGATTCCCAACCAGAGTAGAAACATTGGGCGTGTTTCTTTACACCTGTTGTCTATGTTCACCCATCAGTAAATGGGTACCTGGGTGTTAGTCGACTGGTGTGGGTCGCATCCTGGGACACTTAACCTAATTTGCCCGAAATGCTGAGCATAACAAGGGGGTTTCTATATAGTAGTATGTCATTGTTGTCAGTTACGACTGTATACCTTGTACATGTACTTGTAGTAAATAAAGATATTATATTATTATATTATTTATTTATTTATTTATTTATTTATTTATTTATTTAGAAATTTTAGCATACAAACAGAGGTACAAAAAATACAGGTAAGAGCAGCATGCCAAAGCCACTTATATGCATAGCAATACGGGCTGGCTTAAAATTAACTTAAGATTAACTAAGCAATGATGAAATCAGTGATAAAACATTATTGTAAACAGATAACTATAAAATACAAATGAGTATTACAAAGACAGGTCCTATGGTTGCATGCATTGCTGTTCATTCAGTAGAATGGAGTATTCTGTTAGGTAGTGTATTTAAAAAAAATAACAAAGTTAGGTTTAACATTTGTGTGATATAATTGTGATTAACATTTAGGATATACAATTTATATGGTTCAGTTATTCAGTATTTATTTGGTTTTGAGTGAGTAAGTGAACTTTGAGAAGTGACTTGAATTTATAAACAGGTAGTGTTTCTTTTATATTTACAGGTAATGAATTCCAGATTTTAGGGCCTTTTATGTGCATTGAGTTTTTGCATAGCGTGAGATGGACACGAGGAACATCAAAGAGTGATCTGTGCCTTGTGTTATGGTCATGTGTTCTGTTGAGGTTGGCAAGGAGATGTTTGAGGGGAGGGTTAATATCAGAGTTAAGTGTTCTATGTATGTAATAAGTGCAATAATAAGTATGGATGTTTTGTATGGTGAGTAGGTTGAGTGTTTTGAATATTGGTGGAGTGTGCTGCCTGTAGTGAGAATTTGTTATCATTCTAACTGCAGCCTTTTGTTGGGTAATTAGTGGTCTGAGATGGTTAGTTGTTGTTGAGCCCCATGCACAAATTCCATAGGTGAGATAGGGGTAAATAAGAGAGTGATAAAGGGCCAGGAGGGCTGACTGTGGAAATTTTCTTAGAAATTTGTTGTATATGTGTATGAAATTTGAGTCTATTATCGAGGTGGATTCCTAAGAATTTTCCCTCTGTTAGCTTTGTGATAGGTGATCCGTTTATCATTATGTTAAGAGGTACATCTGTAGCTCTGCTACCAAACTGAATGAAGTAGGTTTTGTCAATGTTTAGTGTAAGTTTGTTAGTCCTCATCCAGGTAGATATTTTCTGTAATTCAGTGTTTACAGTATTGGCTAGCGTGACTGGGCTCGGGTGAGAGAAGACGTATGTGGTGTCATCTGCAAAAAGTGTGGGTTTGAGTAATTGCGAAGCATTTGGTAGGTCATTTATGTATAGGAGAAAGAGAAGAGGGCCAAGGACACTTCCCTGTGGGACACCAACTGTAATTGGTTGTGCGGAAGAGCTTGCCCCATTTGCGTACACATATTGGCTTCTGTTGCTGAGGTAAGACTTGAGGTAGTTGAGGGAGTGCCCTCTAATACCATAGTGTGACAATTTTACGTGGAGCAAGTCATGGTCAACTGTATCAAAAGCTTTACGTAAGTCAATGAAGATCCCCAGTGGGACTTCTTTTTTCTCTATTGCAGTGTATATATGTTCTAGCATGTGTATAATAGCATCATTAGTATTTTTATTAGGCCTGAATCCAAATTGGCAGGGGTTGAGAATGTTATGGGAGATGAGGTAGGAGTGGATTCGTTTATGAATTAATTTTTCGAAGATTTTTGAGAGAGGGTGTAAATTGGATATTGGCCTATAGTTATTCAACTCTGTTTGGTCTCCTCCTTTATGGATCGGGGTGACCCTTGCTATTTTGAGAACTGTAGGGAAGGTGGAGGATTCAATGGATTTGTTAAAGAGTGTTGCAATGATTGGTGATAGTACTTGTGACGCTTTTTTGTATTTAAAGGGTGGTAAGGTATTTAAATCTCCTGCCTTGTTTTTCAGTGCGTTGATAATAAGGGAGACTTCGTATGGGTTAGTCGGAGCTAGGAACAGTGTGTTCGGGTAGTTGCCGGTGAGGTAGTCATTTGGTGGGGTATCTGAGCTTGGAATTTTATTGGCAAGGTTTTGACCTATAGTGGAGAAGAAATCATTGAGTCTGTTTGCTGTTTCTGTTGGTGGGAGTTGGGGTTCATCTGATTTTGCTAATTTTATTTCGCTATGTCGTGATATCTTTTTTGTTCCCAGAATTTCTGATAGGGTCTTCCAGGTCTTTTTTATATCACCTCGTAAGTTGGATTATATTATTAGCTAGGACTGTATACCTTGTATATGTACTTGTAGAAATAAAGATTATTATTATTATTATTATTATTATTATTATTATTATTATTATTATTATTATTATGTTTATAGAAAATTGTAATCATGGTGTAGCATGAAACCAGTTTGGGTCATACAGTGCTTAAGGAAATCCTGAGGAGATAGTGACTCCAGGTCCTTTGATCAAGAGTCCTTCACAATGTCTGGTAAACTCCAGGTAATACATCAAGATTCCATCCGGTGGTCTGGTGGCTAAAGCTCCCGCTTCACACACGGAGGGCCCGGGTTCGATTCCCGGCGGGTGGAAATTCCGATACGTTTCCTTACACCTATTGTCCTGTTCACCTAGCAGCAAATAGGTACCTGGGTGTTAGTCGACTGGTGTGGGTCGCATCCTGGGGGACAAGATTAAGGACCCCAATGGAAATAAGTTAGACAGTCCTCGATGACGCACTGACTTTCTTGGGTTATCCTGGGTGGCTAACCCTCCGGGGTTAAAAATCCGAACGAAATCTTATCTTATCTTATCTTATCTTAAGGGTAACAAACGAAGGGAAATAGAATTCTATTAACATTTTGCTGTGACAAATTATTATTTATTATAAAAAAGAAGCGCTAAGCTTGTTGTGACAAGACAAATATAAATTAATAAATAAAATACAATTTCTATATAGTAAATTGTGAAGGACTTAAACCTGGGCCACTCAATAGTTAAACAATGTGACTACCTTGAGTTTGTTCTTCACTATGAATTTTCATTCTACTAAATGTTTCGTTTGCCCGAAATGCTCTACATATAAAGGAGGTTTCGGCATGTACACCTAAATGTCATTCTCCTTTGTACAAATATTGAATCCTGCTGAAATAAAAATATTATTATTATTATTACTGCTATTACTTACACAATTTTTACTAGTTTCCCGCCAGTGTTATTATTGTTGGTGGTGTTGGTGTTAAGGGTAATAACGACCCGAGGCCCATGTGAACCCTTTGTTTTTATTAATATTATCTGTGTTATTTATTTTTGAGGAAAATACATTTGTGTTACAAAGATTTCCAACATGAAAAATCCCACAGTTATGATTTTTAATTGTTTTATTGAAGGAGGTCGGTAACTTTCTTAGACAGAAATGGTCCCTTGTGAATCCGTGTTAAAGCATAAGTAAGTAAGTAAGTTTATTCAGGTATAAACAAATACAGTTACATAGAATTATCATACATAGCAGCATATGTGTAGAGAACTTAGGATAACCAAAAAAAAAGTCAGACAGAGTGACTTATTTCCATTGGGGTCCTTTTACCTTATTATTATAATATAAAGGTTATATTTTCTTATTATTCTATAATGAAGATAACATCTTATTATCATACTAAAAAGACTATCTACTACACGAGGGTTATTAAGACTATCTACAATACGAGGGTCATTACTAGGAATAAGGTAAAATTTACACGTATGTTAGCTAAAAACTAGAAAATCATTCCCCTCCCTTTCTGTATTATTATTATAATCAAGGGGGAAGCGCTAAACCCGGAGGATTATACAGCGCCTGGGGGGGGGATGTGGAAGGCATTCAGGCTTTCTGTAGCTACATTCATCAGACACCTTTTGGTGTCTGATGAACCTAGGATAACCCAAAAAAGTCAGACAGAGTGACTTATTTCCATTGGGGTCCCTGTCTTTCGTATCTTTGCCGGGGATACCGATATGGTTCGGGATCCAATTGAGTGTAGCCTGAAGTCTCTGAGCCACAAGCATCTACAGGTCACCGGATGGCTGTGCGATGAGGAGAGCTATGTGCTCCATCATGGACATAGACTACGACCATAATATCTTTATTTGCTACAAGTACATGTATAAGGTATATAGGCCTAGCTGACATCAATGAAATACTACTATATAGAAAGCTGCTTGTTATGCTGAGCATTTCAGACAAATTAGGTCAATTTTGTCCCAGGATCCCCTCAGGGAAGGTTCCTTGATGTTGGTGAGGGGCTCTTGATTTAGGGAATTGGATCTGTGCTCCAGTTTCCCGAATTAAGCCTGAATGCCTTCCACATCCCCCCCAGGCGCTGTATATTCCTACAGGTTTAGTGCTTCCCCCTTGATTATAATAATAATGTCCCAGGATGCGACCCACACCAGTCGACTAACTCCCAGGTACCCATTTTATACTGATGAGTAAACATGGACGGCAGGTGTCAAGAAGAAAAGACACAATTAAGGAAATTAAGACACAGTTTTAAGGCGCTCTTAATGTGCCAGTGTGTTGGTTATTTTATGATTAACACACGTCGTTGTTCGCCCCCTCCCCCTGCAAATAAATTAACAAAATTTTCTCAAAAGATTTTTCACAGACAGTAAATAAGATATATTGTGCGATATTCATTTTGTTGAATGGATTTGGGCATGGAAATTATAAGGTTGATAGACGGTTGAGTTTAGTAGCTCCCAGGTACATGATTTATATGCGAGTCTAATTTTAATGTCGTTTGGCAAGACTCTCCTGTTTGTTGGTGACAAGGGTTTTACTTCAGTATTAAGTAGTAGACATTTGTATATTTTTTTTTTTTGAATAAGTCGTTGTCATTTATTCTGTTTTAATATATTTAAACAAGA